TGCAATTCGCGGGCGGGAGGTCGCAGCTCAACCACGTCCGCGCCCGAGCGTTGCGCGGTTGCGTTGCCCCCCCCCTCCCGCGGGCGCAACACAACAAGGCCCCAGGAGCACGTTCTCATCATCAACAAGAACAATAATAGTAACAATCGTTTTGAGACTGTTCGTTCCTATCAGCTCGAATGCCACTCAACACTTAGATCCCGATGCCTCAATACCTGCCCTCTTCGTCTTCGATCGCACCCCCCTTGGGGGCATATCTTCCTTATCTGCCACGTGCATGTAGTGCAGCCCCTAAGACAGGGGAAGAGAGGACGCACGGAAAGGGGAGGGAAAAGGATGGAGCACGAGAGAAATTAGCAGGAAGGGGGCTAGGAGCACAAAGCACGTGGCAGAACCAAACGGGCAAACCTGGTGGGCAGACAGTAGCGGGCGTGTCGGGAAGGCGGGCCCAGGCGGCCAGGACGAGCAGGCGGGTTGCTGAAGCGTGCGACCTGCATGAATCTCGAGGAAGTCTCGAGCGATAACGCGATTCCCAAGTAAATCGCGAGATAAGCTGAAGCGAGAGCGTCACTCCTGAGTGTCGAAGGCCCGGTGTCTGAATTAATTGCGGGAAAGTTCTGCGCGAGAGCACAGGATTCCTGCATAAATTGCGGCGCGCGAGAGCGCGATTTTGGAATGAATTGTGAAGAAGTGTCAGGCGGGAGCCGTTGTTTTTTTAACCCAGGGGCCAGGGGCACAGTTTGGTGACACCCAGCTTTCCCTTCTTTTTCTCCTTTATATATATATATATAAAAATATATTCAAAAAAACGGCGCGAGCCCAAAAGGAACACTTTCATTGAAAATGCGCTAGTTCACGGGCAGGGGGGATCAACAATTATTCTTCTTTAGAGATGAGAAGAATTCAACGACGACGACGACGACGACGACGACGACGACGACGACGACGACGACGACGACGACGACAAAAATACCTGTACTCCTTCTGGAACCTCCAGCCTACGTGACGGCGACGGTGACGACGACGACAGCGACGACGACGACGACGCCGACGCCGGCGCCGCCGCCGACGACGACGACGGAGGACGACGACGACGACGACGACAACCACGACGACGGCGACGAGGACGACGATGACGACAACGACGACGACGACGACGGGCGACGATGGCGACGACGGGCATCGACGGGCGACGACGACCACGACGACGACGACGACGACGACGACGACGACAATCACTCAAACAATGACGCCCGCCCGCCCGCGCGCCCGCCAGCTCGCCGGCGCCTGCTCGCGCGCCCGCCCGCCCGCCGAAGCGCGCGTCCGCCCGCGCGCCCGCTCGCGCGCGCCTGCCCGTCTTCTCGCCCGCCCACCAGCAAGCCCGCCCGCACGTACGCTTGCCCGCCTGCCCGGTCGCCCGCCCGCGCGCCCGCCTCCTCCCCCCCTCGTTCGTCCTGCATCTCTCCTCCTCGCTCCTCCCCGTCCTCCTCGCCCTCCTGTCGGTCCTCCCAACTACCCCTCCTCCCCCCTCCTCGTCCACAATCTCGCTTGTCCTCCCACGCCTCCTACCCACCTCATCCCTCCGCCCTCCTTCGACCTCCCCTTTCCTCCTGCCTTCCCTTCCTTTTCCTCCCTCTTCCCTCCTGCCTTTTCCCTCCCTCCTCCCTCCTCCCTCCTCCACCTCCTTCTACTCCCTCCTCCCTCCTCCCTCCTCTACTTTGCCTCCCTCCTCCGCTACCCCTCCTCCTCGCTCCCCCCTTCCCCCTCAACCCGCTCTTCCTTCAACCTCAACTTCCACACCACTCCTCAAACCTGCACCTGCTTGCAATTCCTGGCTTTTCCCCAGAACATTTCGGTGCTTGGATTTCGTTATCCTGTGTTTGGTTTGCATTTTTCCGGGTTTGGTGCGTTGTCGGACTTGTCTGGGAAATTTCTGGGTTTGCCCCGGACTCTTTCCGGGTTTATTAACTCGTCACTATCATGTCCAATTTGTTCTGGGGGGGTCCAAGGTTGTCCCGTTAATTTCTGGATACGCCTTTTGGAAGACCCCCCCCACGCACCGCTAAGCCCAGGCTTACCCTCAGCCCCGAGAAGGAGGGTGGAGGTAGCTTCGGCCCCCACCCCCCCCCGAGCCCCAGCAACTCCCAGGTTCGCAAAGGGTGCCCACCCCACCCCACCCTTGGACCCTTGGAAATTGGAAACCCAGAAGAGGAGGGGGGAGCTTCGAACCGGCCCCCTGTGCAAAAGGCAGCCCGAGCTTACCCCGGCACCAAAAGGGAGGGGGGGTGGGCTTCTGAAGCACCCCTCCTTCTCCTCCCCGTCAGTTTCCCAGGCTGCTGATGGAAGGGTGGGGGGGTAGCTTCGGAAGCACCCTCCCCTGGCGGAAAAAGGGGGGGTAGCTTGAAGCTGGGGCCTCCCTTTTGTTATTCGCGTCTCCCGCAGCGCGCTCTTTCTACGCCTTCATGTTTCAATTGTCCTGAGGATGTCCCTAGCGAAATCGTCATCTTCGGGAGTTCTCAGGGCGCTCTTGGAGCCATATCCTGGGGTCCTTTTGGAGCTCTTGCTTCTTCGTCTTGAACACTTCAAGACAGATACCACGACGATGTTGAGAACATGCCAGTTTTGTGAGGAAGGATGTTCAGAGTGAGATGGGCACTTTTAGAAACGACGTAAAAGCATAGAGAAATGTTGGTTTGCCGTGCTGGTGATCATTGTCTTAGGATATCTCGAGCGAGAGCGTCGTTTTTAACATGAAAGGTAGTCAAGCAGCTTTGTCGACATTACAAGTTGTCGAGGATGTCTCAGGCGAAATGCCAAATGTAGGAGATATGCCAATTTCGCGACCTCCCGCGTTTAGATCTCACGAGAGAAACGCTTGTTCTGCTAAATAACGATGTTGCGATCAGCTTTTTTATGAGGAGAACGAACGAACGCGCCGAGTCCGCCGGCCGGTCGGCCAGCAGGCCCCTTGGGGGCAGCGCGGGTGAGCCGGGGCCCGCTTATTGCACTTGCTGGACGAACGCGCGTGTCCCATGCAGAGTCGGAGTCGGAGCCGGAGTCGGAGGGATGGGAAAGGACCGGGAGTCGGGAAACAAACATAAGAGCCGGAGTCGGAACCTGCAGAATACCTTCAACCACAAATAATCAGGATACTGAGCCGGAGTCGAAAAGACGAGAGCTGGAATCGGATGTGAGGAGATCTCAATCGAAATGCTTTTAAAAAAGATCCGCCAACCTCCGCCAACCTGGTCCCCGTGCTATCTCGAACGGTATGTATGTTAATAGGTTTTAGATGTGCTACAGATTTAGCCAGAACGTACAGCTCGCTTCTCGTTCCTCGAAAACGCTTCCCATTATCCACCGAGCGAATGATATTTTGCAGCGGCGAGCCAGTTGTCACTCGCGTCTGAGTTGTGTCTTTATTCCTTCCTCAGCATGACCTAACGAACTCCCATCACATTCTCGTTCCGAAAAGGCGCTTCCCGTCATCCGCCAGGCCTTGACCACGGAAGCCCTCCATCACCCTTCCCCGCCTGGAACTCCCAAAACGATAAATGTGTCCCTACCGGGTCGGAAACAACGTCCATCGCACGACTCTTCGAGTCTGAGCGCGCTTCCTATCATGCGCCACCGTCCCCGTGCGGCACGAAGTGAAGTGTCCCCAGATCCCTTGCCGAATCCCTCAAGCCTCAGTCCTCAATCCTGAAGATGTCTTAAGAAGGCCTGGACCCCGAATTGCCAAATCCTCAAGAGCTTGGCGAGTGCCCCTTGGGGCGCGTCGCGTCTTGTCGCGTGATTTCTCGGGCCCAGGAACGCCCCAAGACGGACCAAGAGGGCCCCAAGAAGCCCCCAAGACGGTCCAGGAGAACCCCGAATCGTCGGACGATCGGTCCAAGACGCCCAAGATGGCCCCAAGACGGCCCAAGAAGCCTTCGAGGCGCCCCAAGAGATCCCCAAGAGCCTTCCCAAGAAGGCCCCACAACCCGCGCCAGCCCCGCCGACTGCGCCGCTCAGCCCCCTCGCCCCTACAAGCTCCGAGGCCTCCAGTTGCTGAGCTCCAGAGGCCTCAGCTCAGAGACACAGAGACCTCGACCCTCGAAGCCTCGACATCGTCGAAGCAGACACCCAGAGACCTCGGGTCCTCGAAGCCGCGGAGGGGAGGAGAGCGCCCGTGGACCACGCGGGGGCCGCGCGCGCGGGGCATCCCTGCGGGGACCCCGCGTACGGCCCCAAGAATACCACCACCACTTCCATTCCCCTTCGCTCCTTCACCCTCCATATTTTTTTTCTTCTTCGCCACTCTCTCTGAAGCCAGCAAGAAACGCGGAGAACCACGTGCACAGAAGAAGATGAAGACAATTATGGGAAAATGTCGAACAAATAATGGTGGCTATCGCGACCCAGCCCTCCCGGCCTGGCCCCCCGCGAATACCCCTCTACCTACCCTCCACCCTGAGATCGGGCGTGTCCCCCTGCAGGGGGACTTTGGACGAAAAACAAAAAATACCAGAAAAATGTTCGAAATATGTTCAAACATAATTAAAAAAATCGTCCCTGGACCATTTCCTTGACTATTTGTGAATTTGCCTGCTGTAGACTTAACTCCACTCTCCTCTTCCTCCTCCCTCCTCCTCCCCTGGGAGGGACGAGGGTGAGGGAGGTGGTGGCGGTGTACATCGCTGGGCACGGGACCGCAGGGCTCTCTGGGGCGAGCGCACGGGCAGGAGAGCCCAGAATCGAATCGATGAGCCGCATCGGCAATCGACATACAGCGGAGCGGGGGAACTCGGCCGCCGCGCCGGGAAAAGCCGAATCGGCGGAAATCGGCGGGCTCGTAGGCATCCGTTGAGACACCGGAGCCCGAATCGATGTTGGACACCGAGGTCGCCTATGGAGTTCTTGAGACACCGAGGTCGCACCGGATCGGAATCGGAAGTGGTCGAGGTCGAGGTCGAAGTCGAGCGGGAGGACACCGAAACGAGCCCTGCAAGGCGGGGGGGGGCTCCTTTCTCGCCCTCGGGCCCGGCGACCGGCAGCGGCAGGCGAGCCTCCGGATGGGGGGCCCAGCGGTCGCCACAGGGCACCCGTTCGGAGGCGGGGCCCGGGCGAGGCAGCGAGAGCGGCCCTCCCGGGGGCCAGGTCGCCCTGTGGGGGGCCTCCCGGGGCGCTGCTCGTCGCCGCGGCCGGGCTCGCCTCTCGAGAGACGGGTCAGGATGGACCCCAAGAGCTCGCCATCGCTCGGAGGCCCACTCCCCCCCTGCCTGCTCTGGCTCTGTGCGTCCATGGCTCGTGAGAGATGGCCCAACATCCTGCTCCTCGAGGGCCCTCGCCGAGGAAGAAGGACGCACACGTCCCAGCGATGCCAAGGGAGGGGTCCGGGAGCCGACCTCGACCGGGTCTGCGACGGGCGGGGCCCGTCCTCTCGGCTGGCCCTCCTCCTCCTCCTCCTCCTCGTCCTCCTCCTCCTCCTCCTCCTCCTCCTCCTCGTCCTCCTCCTCCTCGTCCTCGTCCTCGTCCTCGTCCACCTCCTCCTCCTCCTCCTCTCCTCCTCTTCCTCTCCTCCGTCCTTCCTCCTTCCTTACTCCTCTTCTCCCACCAATCGCCCGTTGGCGCTGCTCTGTCGGGCGCCCTCTCGGGCCCGAGGCAGGCCTCCGGATGCCGAAGCTGCGGGAGCACGCCGCGCGCGGGAAGGCCCGTCAGCGGCAGCGGCGTGGGGCGGGCCCTGGCTGTGCCTCCTCCTCCTCCCCTCCTCCTCCCCTCCTCCTCCTCCGCCTCCTCCTCCTCATCCTCTCTTCCTCCTCCCCTCTCCTCCTCCTCCTCCTCCTCCTCCTCCTCCTCCTCCTCCTCCTCCTCCTCCTCCTCCTTGGGTCCGCCGCAGTTTGGTTTACAGTCCTGGTCAAACTGCGCCAGAGACGCACCCCAACCGATGCGACAAAAATGAAACGGTCCTCTCTGCCGCGGGAGAGTGGGGCGGAGGTGTCCGCCGAAGTATGTGCGGAAGCAGCGACGGCAAGGCAGGGCGGAAATCGGCATCACAGGAGCTTGAAATTCCCGCCGCAGTGCCAGCGGGGAGCCCGCGAGCACCGCCGCGCGCGCCGCAGCAGCGAGGGGCAAGACGAAAATGGGATGGCAACGCCGACCATGGAAACGGCAGAGGCGGTGGCAGTGGCGACGATGATGACGGTGGTGTCTCGGGCTGTGGGCGAACATGACGATGACACGATGGTGGTAATCACGGCGATTGCAATGGTGCCGATGATGGTGGTAGTGGTGGCGGTGGTGGTAGTGGTGGTGTTGATGATGATGATGATGATGATGATGATGATGATGATGATGATGATGATGATGATGATGATGATGGCGACGACGACGACGATAATAATAATGATAATGATAATGATAATGATAATGATAGTCATAATCAGAATACTAATACGAATAATAATGATAGTATAACGCTACAAATAATGATATTAGTAGCAATGATGATGATGATGATGATGATGATGATGATGATGATGGTGGTGATGATGATGATGATGATCCTGATGCTGATGATGATGATGATGGTGATGATGGTGATGATGATGATGATGGTGATGATGATGATGATGATGATGATGATGATGATGATGATGATTATGATTATGATGATGATGCTGATGATGCTGCTGATGCTGCTGATGCTGCTGATGCTGATACTCAGACTGAGATTGATACCGATACTGATGAGCCGATTGAAATCAAATTTGCAGCCCGGTCAATCCCCGAAATCTGGGCGCGGTCGGGTCCCGTGTCATATCCCCTGGTTGGCTCACCCCTTGGCCCGCTCAAGTGCCACACCTGCTGTATCGAGAGAGATGCTGTTGGGGATCTGACAAACAAGCACGCATTTCCCGCCAAAACAGCAATTTGATCTGAGAGGTCCCGACCATATGTTGATAGAATTCGTCTCCCTGAATCTTGGGGGGGAGGGCCTCCCTTCTTCCCCCCTCCCGTTCTCTCCCCGGCCGCCCCCCCACCCCCCCCGGCCGCCCCCTAGAGCCGCTGGTCGACAGTCCCCCCCCCCAACCCCCTCGCACCCCCCCCACCACCACCACCCCGGGCCCAACCCCGGGGCCGTTTCCCCCCGCTTTCCTCCCCCCCCCCACCCCCCCACACCCTGAGCGGCTTGCTCGAACTGGCATCCACCCCCCCTCGCTCCCCGTCCCGCCACCCCCCCCGAGGAGGAGGAGGAGATGAGGAGGAGGAGGCGGATGAGGAGGAGGAGGAGGAGGAGGGGGAGGACGAGGAGGAGGACGAGGAGGACTAGGAGGGAGGAGGAGGATGAGGAGGAGGAGGAGGAGGAGGAGGAGGAGGAGGAGCGCAAGTGCCTAGCGTGCCAGCAACCAGCCACCAGCCACAAAGGCGAGATCGAGGCCCTGGCCAGCCCGTCCCGCCCCATCCAGCCGCCCCTCAATCCAGTGAGCAACTTCTTCCCCCCCCCCCGTCCCACCCGCAGCCCCCTGCAGCCGCTGTTCGACCCTCTTCCCCCGTTTGTCTCCCTCCTGGTGTCCCCCGAGGACGGCCCCCCTGAAGCCGTGTCTCCGCTCTTTGCCCCCCCCCCCCCACCCTGTCCTCCGCGGCCGCCCTTAGCTGGTAGGGGAAACGTGATGAGAGGGGGGGGAATGCGAGAATGGAGTGGAGGAATCAAATGAGGACGAGCGCGAGGAAGAGGAGGACGAACAGGAAAAGGGAGGAGGAGGAGGAGGAGGAGGAGGAGGAGGAGGTGGAGGTGGAGGCAGACTCTGGGAGAGGAGATGGAGAAAGGGGATGAGGAAGAGGTATGATGATGAAGATGGGGCGAAGAGACAAAGGCGAGGGAACTCGTGGCGTCCTATCGTGCTCTCCTGGAACACCCTGGCGCTCTTCGGGCCCTCCTGGATCTCTCCTGGGATCCTTTGCGGCCTTCCCAATGCCCTCCTGGGCATTCCACCGGGGCAACTATCAAATCTATGTCCCTTGAGTTTTCCCCATGTATCCCGGGGCCTTTCCTCCCTTTCCATTTGGGGGGGATCCACTGCTGCAGCCGCTCAACTTGGAAGCTCAACTTCGGCCCTGGGGGAGATTCCGTTTTCTCCTATCGGCTGAGCGGCTACGCGCAAGAGCGATCCTAGGCAAGAGTGGCCTTTGGTGCGCGCTTTTCGGGGGGCCGTGGTAATTAAGGCCAAGCCCGGGCGCGCAAAACGTTGCTATCGCATCGCCTTCAGTCATCTGGGGACCCCAGTGTGCCCGCGCTGAAGGTCAACCCGGCGAAAGGCGGCTCTGGCGCGCAGCCGAGCCTTTTGCCCCCGCGGACCTCGGTGCCCTTCCTGGGCCGCCCTTTTCGGCCCCTTGGGCGCGGACGGGGGGTGGACAAGAGGGAGGGCGGGGGGGCGATTGAGGGCGTGCTTGGCGCAGTGATCGACGCGAGAAGTGGCAGCGGCAAGCTCTCTCTCTCTCTCTCTCTTTCTTTCTCTCTTGATTTATGTCCCTCTCTCTTTCTCTTTATAGATTTATTTATGTATGCATTGTTTCTTTCTATCTCTCTCTACTCCCTTTTCTATATTTTTATAATCCTGGGGGGTGGGACCCCCCCCCCGAAATAGGATCCTCCCCAACCGGGACTTCCGGAAACGGGACCCCTCACGAGGATCGCAGCCTCCGAGCGCGAAAATTAGCGCTCTCCGTCCAAAGAGGAAGGTGAGAGGACACGCGAGGCTCCTTGGACCTCCCGAGAGGCTTTCTCGAGGCTCCTACGAAGGCCCAAGAGGGTCCCAAGAGCCTTCCAGAGTCCTCCGAAGAAGCCCCCGAGAGATGAACATCTGTGATTTCCTATGGTTTTTCTAAGATTTTTGCTTCTTTGCATGTTCACTGTTCCGACGTGCCAAGACGGCCGAAGACGCCCACAAGACCGATGCCAGACGGCTCAAGAGGCCTCCAAGCGAGTCCGAAACCGGCCCAAGACAGCCCCGACACGGCCCAAGGGGTGCTCAAGACGGCCCCAGAGAGCCCCAAGACGGCATTCAGAAACGGCACCCCTCACGAGGATCGCAGCCTTCCAGCGCGAAACTGAGCGATCTTCGTCCGAAGAGGCACCTACGAGGGTACGCGAGGGTCCTCGGGTTGCCTTAAAAGCTTCTTAAAGGTTCCCCCGACAGCTTGAGAAGGCCCCACGAACCTCGCAGAGTTCTCTGAAGAAGGCCCCAAGAGATCAAAATCATTAATTTCCTATGGCTTTCCTAAGATTTTGGCTTCGTTGCATGTTCACTGTTCCGACGTGCCAAGACGGCCGAAGACGCCCACAAGACCAATCCCAGAGGGCCCAAGCAGCCTCCAAGCGAGTCCACAGCCGGCCCAACAGAGCCTCCAGACGGCCCAAGCCGTGCCCAAGACGGCCCCAGAGAGCCCCAAGACAAGCTTCAGAGAGAGCTTAAAAGGGAAAAACATACAATTGCAACGCGCTCGGCTCCCACACGGCCACGCGAGGCCCCAAGCCCCTTCCAGGAGGCCACAAGAAGGGCCACAAGGCGCGCAAAAGGCTTATGATTTCAAGGACTCTGCACCCAGACGCCCACACGAAGCTCCAAGACTCCTCAACGGCTCCCCAGACGTGCCACGAGGCGCCCAAGAGCCGCCAAGAAGCATTCACGAAGTTCCCCCACGACGCCCCACAAGGCCTCTAAGAACCTCCACGAGTTCTCCGAAGAAGGCCTTTATAATCCTGGGGGGTGGGAAAGCCCCCCCCCCGAAATAGGATCCTCCCCAACCGGGACTTCCGGGAACGGGACCCCTCACGAGGATCGCAGCCTCCGAACGCGAAAATTAGCGCTCTCCGTCCAAAGAGGAAGGTGAGAACGAAGCCCATACATAACGTTCGTAGAGCCTGCCTGTCCCAAAGTCGCGTCAGCACGCCTCCCCGCGCCCCCCATGCCTCATATTTTGCAGTGTAAAGCTGCATTCTGGTCAGAATCCTGGGTTCGCACCCTTTTTTTTTTAGAAATTTGGTTGCGAACCCGGGATTCGATAA